CCAGTCGATCGCATCAGCCGAACTAGAACTTAGGGCGACGGCGCCTCTCTCGAGAACGACTCCTTGGGTGCAGAGCTGTTTCACTGCCGCCATGTTATGGCTTACGAACAGCACCGTCCGGCCGCTCGACGCTACGTCCTGCATCTTTCCCAAGCTTTTCTTCTGAAACGCCGCGTCGCCCACCGACAGTACCTCGTCGACCACTAGGATCTCCGGGTCGAGGTGGGCGGCCACCGCGAAGGCTAGCCGCGTGTACATCCCAGAGCTGTAATGCTTCACTGGGGTGGCGAGGAACCGTTCGACCTCGCTGAACGCCACGATCTCATCAAACTTGGCCCGCACCTCGCGTTGCGTCATCCCGAGGATCGCGCCGTTGAGGAAGATATTCTCTTGCCCCGTCAGCTCGGGATGAAACCCGGTGCCGACCTCGAGCAGCGACCCGACTCGGCCGCGGACCTCGATCTGGCCCTCGGTGGGGCGGGTTATCTGCGACAGGATCTTGAGCAGCGTGCTCTTTCCGGCGCCGTTACGGCCGATGACGCCGACCACATCGCCGCGGCGCNNGACACGTTCTTGAGGGCCCAAAAACTGTCCTGATCGGGACGACGCAACGCGCCGGCGGCGGCTCGCAGCGGGTTGCGAAGCGCCCCGGTCAGTCGCTCGCCGAGCGACTGATAGCTGAAGCGACCGCCAGTGCTGGCGGCGCCGACGTGGTACTCCTTACCCACGCCTTCGAAGCGGATGGCGAGGTCAGACGACATCGGCGAACCGGTCCTCCATTCTCGCGAAGTATGCCAGCCCCACTCCCAGGCAGACGAAGGTGCTGATGGCGCCGACGGCCCACATACCGGGGTGTGCGGGTGTGTCGAGGACGCACCAGCGGAAGAACTCGATCGGCGCGGCGACGGGTAGCAGCCCGTAGACTTCGCGCCATCCGTCTGGCAGACGGCTTGCCGGCCAAAAGACAGGGGCCGCGAAGATCGCAAATTGAGTGATGAACGGTATCACATAACGGACATCGCGAAACTCGACATTAAGCGCCGCGAGCGGCAGGCCGACCGACAGCGCCGCCAGGAAGGCCCACACTATTGCTACCGGAAGCAGCACCACCTGCGGAGGCGGCGTCAATGCAACGCCGCCAGGCAGCAGCGGCAGCGCCAAGATCACCAAAGCTACCAAGATGAACTGCACAGCTAAGTCAACCAACGAAACCATCGCGGCGCTGACTGGGAGCACAAGTC